GGACTCGGGTCGAACCGTTTTCTCTGCGTCGGTCATTTGTAAAATGTATTTAATTTCCTTTGAAAACAGCCTCTGCTCTGCTTCCACCTTCCCCCTCGCTCTGCAGAGTTTCTTTTTTTTTTTTTTTACTTTATTCAGTCAATCAGCATTGACAATGCACCGCAGGTGAACAAAACGGCTCCCGTAGCGCTGCGAAAGACGCATAATCGCGCGACACAAAGAATCAATAATGAAATTCGTTGCCAACACTTTTAATAATCAATTTTTATAGATTTTATCGATTAGTTATTGCAGCCCTATAAATAATTATTAAAATTGATTTGAATCCATCTTTCTTGATCTTCATAGGGTACTCCAGCAGATTGTTAAATGGTAAATGTGGGGGGTGACTGCCGAGGCGGGACATGGGCACCAAAATAACGTGCACGGTCTGGAATACAGCTCTGCACACCATGTATAAAATAAATGAAATAATCCAAACTGTGGCTCACTGGTCACAAACACCAAGTTCAGTGAAAGTGCAACAAGAAGTGTGCATCTTGTCTTGTAATTTTGAGTCTCCAACAAGATATGACCTAATCTAGAGGAGTGGGTCCAACAGAACCAGCTCAGCTCCAGAAGGGGAACAGCTGAGGCCCTGAACAGAACCCTGAGGGCCTCCAGGGGAGGAGCTGATTTTAAAGAAAAGCCACGTTTGTTTAGCTGGAGACACAGCAGAACTAAACCTGACCAAACCTGAGCTACCCACCCACTCACCAGCCTCTGAGTGCACAGCGTGTGTGTGTGTGTGTGTGTGTGTGTGTGTGTGTGTGTGTTCTCGAGGCCCTGCAGTTGTGTGTGAGGGGGTTTGTAATTACGCCTGATTTAATTGTCTTGAAGAGCTGGTGTGTGTGCGTGCACACCTCCAAGGATGTCGTTCTCCGTTTAAAAATGGAGTTTGAGGCTCAGATTATGATCATATATTTCCATGCGAGCTCCTGGCTGCACTAATTAGATTCGTCCTAATCGCTGCAGATTATCTCTGCTCTCCTTCCACCTCGTTATCTTCGGGGGTAGATTGTTGTTTGAACAGTAAATTTGTTTTGGCCCTAAACAAAAACAGGTGCATTAAAAACAAACACTTATGTGCTAAAATAAGAAATTCTGCTCGTTTGAGTAGACTGACGCGCTGCAGAAATGATTTGTTGAGATTTATTCTAATAAATGTTGTAAGAGAGGCACCCAAGATCCTGGATGTACAGCCTGATACAAGATCAGCTGATATTAGAAAACAAGAAATGGTCAGTTTTACAGATACTGAGCTAGTGTTGTGTGGTAGTAGCTGAGAGTCATTCCCAACAGATCTTTGTATTAAACTGCCAGACGTAGCGCCTGAACTTGACGGCTCTTCTTGCAGGTGGATATAGCTTCCTGCCACTTTTTCTGGCTTGGTCCCAGGAGCCCAGATCTGACGAGGAGTGGGGGTTCCCCAGTTCCTTTTTTCTGGGTGACGTTGCCTTGGGATGCTCCCTCCTAGGTGAGGGGAGCGCTGACGTTCACACGTCTGAAAGTCCTGAATGATGGTGGGATGGACCAACAAATTAGAGCCTTGTCTGAGCTGAAAGATAAAGCTCTTTATTTTACAGACCAGCTTCCTCAGTGTGTGTGTGTGT